TTGTTGTTTATACTAGTGCATGTATGTGTTGTTGTTTGGATAGATTCTTATATTAGTCGCTGTTTGTACATATTGTTTTCTTGATACATATATTTGTATGATTTGTTGTTTGTTCTTATTGATGTATTTGTTGTTGTTTATACTAGTGCATGTATGTGTTGTTGTTTATACTAGTGTATGTATGTGTTGTTGTTTATACTAGTGTTTGTATGTGTTGCTGTCTATACTAGTGTATGTATGTGTTTTTGTTTGGATAGATTCATCTATTAGTCCCTGTTTGTACATATTGTTTGTTTATACATATTTTTGTATGATTTGTTGTTTGTTCTTGATGTATGTGCTGTTGTTTATACTAGTGTATGCATGTGTTGTTGTTGTTTATACTAAGGTAAGTATGTGTTGTTGTTTGGACAGATTCATATATTAGTCGCTGTTTGTGCATATTGTTTGTTTATTCATATTTTTGTATGATTTGTTGTTTGTTCTGATTGATGTATTTGTTGTTGTTTCACAATGTCCCACTGAAACGCTAAACCCTAGAACCGTTCATCAGATAAATCACGAGAAACCGATGTACCAGCGGCATGATCACTGTAAACAGAGACTACACCGCCTGTAGCCATAGACACCCATGGGCGTGCGTGTGTGTGTGTTGGTACAAACTCTGGGTATACGTCACACACATGCTCACACTCCCACCCATATGACAGCACACTCATATACAAGGCAACTCTCTCAATACACACATACACACACACATACACACACACACTCACTCACACTGATACTGCAGCACACACGCAGGCGCTGTAGTGCCACTGAACTTACACAGATACGAATGTGTTCATTTTACAACACGCTGCAGAGCCACAGGTAAAGTCAATCATCAACAACACACGACCAGACCGACAGACGCTGATGTTCAGTGCGACGTTTAAGAAGAAGGTCGAGATGCTCGCGCGCAGAGCACTGTGTGATCCCGTGCGTGTGGTTGTGGGAGAAACAGGCGAGGCATGTGCATGGTACTAGATCGTGGTTTGTTGCGAATATGGGACGGGTGTATGTAGGTAGAAAGAGTGATATTTGTAGGTAAGGATAGTGGTGTCTTCTGTACAGGACTATGTCATAGTATATTCTCTGTGCTAGTTTGGTAACAGGTAAAGCTGTAGGCGGTTCTGTTTTAGGGTTTGTTTTAGGGTTTTAGGGTTTGCGTGGTTGCCAGCACACTGTATACAGCCACATATTCAACTACTCAAATGCACACACGCGTGTAGCATGTATTTACCCTGACATATACTCACACACCCACATACCAGTAGTTGCAGATACTACCCAGCATGTGATAATGTTCAAAGCTACTGGTGAGAAGTTATTTGTATATATATATATATATATATATACATGTCACTGGCATTAGACAAAAATCATACAAATATACCAGGTACATACACACCTGACATCGAGTCCCCGACATAAACTCACCCACTCTTCCAACCTTTCTGTACAGGCGAATGCGGATATCACGCAGCATGTAGCACTGTTCAAAGGCGCGAGTGAGAAGTGGCATTGGCTGACTCAGCGTCTGGTGCAGTTTACGTCCGAGGGCAGTGTGTTGGTGTTTGTGGGCAAGCGAGACAATTGTGCTCAGCTGGGTGAGAATCTGCTGGCCAAAGACTTTGCAGGTGTGTGGTGGTTGGTATAGCTTACTTCTCTGTAAGGGTATGTGGTGTGTAATGGGATCGTGTACCTTTCTACCCCTTTAAAGGTATGTGTCGATAATTTTACGCAATACGAAACTAGGTCAGTGTAGTTGGTTGCGCCATGTGTCATGTGTCATATGTTATATTTGTGTCATGCCCTGTGTCATGTGTCATGTGTCATGTGTCATGTGTTAAATGTCACGTGTCATTTGACATGTCGATCCGGCAGTAGCTACCACCTGTGAAATAGGTTGCGCTGCTGCTGAGTCTGATTCAGCTGCATCAAGTACTGGCAGTTGTGAGTGGCAGTAGTGGTAGCCTCTGTCTCATAGTCACACACCCGCATATCAACGTAACCAGTACAGATGCACCGATTGGTTTATTTGTTGTATGAGTATTTGCATAGCTGTCTATGTTCTTCACTCAGAGAAGGTGTGGTCTGACAATTAGGTTAACACGCTTGCTGTATGTATGTGAATCACTGGGTCATGTTTTCTTCAGACACACTCAGCTTGTGTGTTGCAGTCGGTTTAGGGTTGTAAGGTTTACACTCACTCAAATTGTGTGTTTGTGTTGCAGTGGGTTTAGGGTTTTAGGGTTTTAGGGTTGTAGGGTTTACACACACTCAGCTTGTGTGTTTGTGTTGCAGTGGGGTGCATCCACGGTGATCTGCACCAGGAGTCACGAAACGGAATCATCAGCGACTTCAAGAAGAAGAAGTTCACCATTCTGGTGGCCACAGATATCGCAGGTGAGAACATTGTAACAATACACACACACGCTTATACGTACGTATATGGATACGTATATGCCCAAACGTACATGTATCTATTGTGTATGTTCTAAATGTGCATACATGTAAAGACATATATGTATATATCCAAATTTGTGTGTGCCAGTGTTTGTATGCTACGGGTCTTAACTGTCTGCGTCAGTCGGTGCATTGTGATATCTTAATACGTTAGAGATAACGGGTCTACAGATAATTCCCACAGGGATTGCGTTTATATGTTTGTACATACACATACCCTCGGGTGGTCGTGTGCGATTGATCGGAGTGTGTTTTACAAAGCTACAGCAACTTACGTGTGGATACCCAGTTAACGTATGAGTTGAAAAGAGTGAATGAGTATTGTTGGACGATAAACCGGATCTGGCACGCCATTTCTAATGGTTACGTCTAAAACGCTTTTTCTATGGTTTCTTCTAAAACGCTTTTTCTTGTGGTTACTTTGGTTACGCTTTTTCTTATGGTTGCTGTGGTTACGCTATGCAGCTCGTGGATTGGACATTTCGCACATCAAAACAGTCATCAACTTCGATGCCGCGCGAGACATCGACACACACACACACAGGATAGGCCGAACGGGGAGAGCGGGTAAGATATGTGTCCGCATGAACGCATATATATATATATATATATATTAATTTT